GAGGGATTATTGTTTGCACTGTCTTCAAACTGACCTAGTTGCGATACTTTTAAATAGAATTCTACATAACAATGCAGTTCTTAAGTTTGTATGAAAAAAAATGCACAATTGGGACAGGAAAGCATATTCGTTGATGATGGTCCTTGCCGTAAACCTTGAGAAGACCCTGTTTAACCTTGTTGCTTGCATTCCTGCATATTGTGTGAGACTTGGTACAAAAAGAGGTTACTTTCAAAATGTTTACTTGTTATATTTACAAAAGGACCTCAAGCAATTAATTTACTGAAAGCTTAGATGAACTCACCCTATTCAGAAATAGTTAATATAACTAATACATCTTATCATGGTATCTATCTGAACTCTGGGCCACCCATGTAAAAACAACAAATTGTAAATGACACAGAAAATAAATTTCTTTAACCACAAATTGTGAGCTGTGTTTACCAGGGTGCATCTTGGGTGCCAGTATTTAAATGAATGACTTCTATTGTATTTGAAACAATAGCTTTATTGTATTACATAGCTGAGTTCTATTGTATTCAAACAAGGAGTTCTACAATGTAGGAGTATCTAAAGCAATGTCTTCCATTGTATTTTTGTATTTTCACATCTACAGGAATTTCTCTTGTGCCTACAACTGAACCATGAATTATTCAATTTGAAAATGGTGGAACATTGAATCCAGCATTTGTCTAAACTAAGTTTGTTTTTTGATTTGATAAAACTACTTTATTGGCTCCATTAGAAGTGTACCTAAATCGCAATTATTATGTCTAGTATGTATTTCAGATGTAGATTTATTTGTTGTCCAATATCTGGTCACATCCTACACATAGCGGGGTTAGTAAAAAAATACTAAATCAAATGAGAAAATAACATCAATTATGTTAAAATAAAATAGAATATATTATGAAAAACTATAAGAGAAATTTGTATATGGATACATGTACATGTTATAGCCATTGTAGTACTTCATTGCTAAATAATATCGTCAACTTACATGTAGTTGCAACAATCAGAGCGATTAAGTGGACATGCTATTTTGCAGTTAGTTGTGAAAGCTCCCTCCTCCCCCCTCCCCCTTACACACCTTAAGTTTCTACTGTCACATTCTTGTACCTAGGCTAGTGCATGTAGCAAGTAAACCGTGACCTGGGTTTTCAAATGTATTTAGGTCACACACATATTTGTAGTGGATTTTAATTCGTATGGGTCAACACTTTAAATAGTTTCTTTTACAAAGTGTCCAGTCCATTAGTTGGTACACTCTGCTGCCAATATTTGTGACCAGCAAAAATTGATTTTTGAATTGTATTGATTCCTGAAAAAATTATGAAGTGTCGGCCATTTTAGAATGTGATAGGATGATAGCAGGATTACAGCGTCAGATTTCACCTTGATTGTATTGGCAGTGGCGGGGTCATGTGGTTTGATTAATGATTTATACTATACACTATTTTAATCCTATCATTTTATTAGACAATATATGAGTTACAACTCTCCAGTGGAAATGTAATTCTGATAGGGTACTAGCTTAGAAGGATTTATTGTTTCCGTACGCTGTCGTCATAATGTAACTCCATGCAAGAAACCTAGAACTATACATTGTATATATACCATTGCCGTAAAGTGTCAACATGTGAAGATTTTCTTTTGTGAATAGCAATCACTATAAAGTGTCAAATTTTGATGATATCCAGGTTTAGAAGTTAACCACATTGGTGATAAATTGTTGTAGTTTACATATCACAAGTTATCAGTCATACTATAAACCACTTTCATTTTGTAAATAACTGAAAGTCACAAAGTGTCAGTCAAATTTTGTTTACATGAATGTAATAAAATGATCAAATTGTAACAGTACATTACAGTATTTAAACATAAGAGTCACTGTGATGCTACAAGTTACAGCGTGTCGTAATTGTATGATATATTGCATTTTACCATATTAGGGAATGTGCATGAATTCCAAATATGAAATGATTATTGCAGTGAGGACTTTTGAAAATAAAGTTCATAGCAAGGAAATTTGACTAATTTGCACCTTTCTGCTCATTTCTTGGCTTCTAATTTTGAAACCAAGCACGCAAATTGATCAGGAAGATGTATAATAATAAGGTTAATGCCAAGATACTGCACAGTATGTGACCTCCAAAACGCCCTGGTCTGTACTGTCTTCATGCATACTTTGTGGCATCCTCGTAATAACCTTGTGATATATATTGTGACAGAAATGATGTATTATCATGTGCGTAACATACATATCTGTGTGACAATTACAAAACACATATCACATAATTTGACAACACATACTGCCAAACTTGTTATTCAATGTACACGCTGTCTGAAGGTTGTGCTGTGCTTTTGATTTTATATACAACCTGAAAACTAAAGAACAATGGCTCATTTTACCAAGCTCATAAGTGTATTTTTGGAATTGTAATTCAGTCCCACCAAAATATATAAAATAAACCACCACAATCCTGACATTGATTCATGTGAAATATAGAATGCCATGAGATCAATAAAATTAGCATACAAGACATGCACAATAGTTTGTACTGGAAACATGCATATGATAAATATATAATCCTATAATATTCTCTCTTAGCTTGATGTCAGAATAACATCAATCCTTTCCTGTAGTGAGCATGCATTTATACAAACCTCAGTCTACAAGTGTCTGCTGATGTCAACGTCATGGGATTATATATAAATATTATATTAATTATTACATGTAATAACATGATTACAAGTATATTACATTGTGAAATCTATGGCAGGACTTCAACTATTTAAAACCCAGCAAGCATATCCAAGAAATTTAGGGTTAGGGCCTTTTATCTTGTTCATTCTTATATGCAAGCCTGTACACAAAAAAGTTGTATTTTCATTGAATTCTTTTTTTTTTACCATATCTAGGTGAACTTAGATCTTTTTAGTGAATCATATAATACTGTGATAAATTAGATAAGTTAGTATTTCTAATATTTTCCCATAAATGTACATGTACCTCTCAATCATGAGATTCATGAATCACTGTGTAGATGTGGTTTATGCTATCCAGTGAGAAAATCATATTATCCTGCATCACTGCAATAGCATGGTATTTATCCTATTTTGGCATCACAAAATGTTTTGAGCATTGGACACAGACTGTTTTCATCACAAATACACTCATTTCATAAAATCATTTACAGATAGCATTTGTAGAAATGTGCATTTTGTGATCATCACAAAAATGATCAGCAAACAATAGATACAATTTTCCCATTCCAAGTATTCTAATGTAAGCAACATTTTTGTTTTTCAGTATTTCCTGCATTTCCAAAATACAATGTTTATTGTGACTAGTAACATGAACTTTGTTTCAACAGTGAGCTGTTACGAAAAGTATTGAATAATTATAATCCTAATATCATTTTCCAAATTTAAAAACAAAACAAAAATAAAAACTGATGCATTCATCATCATCAGAAATGTTTGCATATTTTCTGCTATACTTTATAGTGTTCTGATTGGTAAAAATAATTGCAGATAATGTTTTGCATTGACTGTTTGTATTTTACTTGCTATTCAAACCAATGAATTATTTTTTTATTTATTATAATCCTGAGTCATTGCTTCTAACACTTCAAAAATATGTGAGTTATTCATTTTTGAAACAGCATGACTGGATTGCACTAATGTTGATTGTTTTCATTTAAAACTACCAGCAAAATTAAAACCAATTATATTAAACTTTACATGTATATTAAATTCACTTTGAATTACCAATTATTTTATTATGCCTATTTTAGAACCAAGTGAAGGTCCCTCTATCTTACCTAAATCATGTGTGGGCTTGTATTAAATGTGCAGTGCTTCAGCCTCAATCCCAACCAAATTTTGCAATATTTCAACACCATTCCATTACTTATCATTCAAACAATGAAACTAAATATTTGAAATGATAAAAGTAATTATAACTGCTACTTTGTGTAATAGAACTGCCATTTTGTCCTAAAACTTGTGCTGATAATGTAATTGCAATATTTTAAAATAATTTGCTGTATCTTGTGAACACAGGCTTTTATAGAATAGGTGCTAACACCAAGGCATCAATAATTACTTTCTCGAGACTCTAGTTGTAGCATTCTTTTCACTGAGTGATGCTGTTGATATGAAAACCCACAATATAACTTCTTTCTGGGTAGTGGTTTGATAACAAATATGTCGTTTTACTCATGGATAAGCAGATTTATTTCCCAAGCCAGTGTTATACTCCTCCCAACTAATGATCAGTTTTCAGAAATCTAATATCCTTATGAATATTTAATTAATGAATTTTCTTTACCAAATTATACAATAATTTAAAAGTTTATAAGCAGAAGTCTTAGCATTATTTACAAAAACAGATCCCAAATAATGAGTATATCATTTTACATGTAAGTATCAAGGTTGGATTTGGATCTAAATATGGAAGAGGGTGTGCAACTATCATGTATGCCGAATAGTATAATGCACAACACATAACACACCTTTCCCATGCATTCATCTTACTTCCGGTGTATTCTATTCCTGTTTGATGTTTCTATCTCTCTGTGTAAACTGTAATTGTTCATTAGAAGTACAGTACATATACCCAATACTCAGTCAGCTGGCGTACATGTGATAATAAAATAAATGTGATCAATTTACTAGTATTTACTTCATGGGGCAGCCATCTTGAATATAGCTTGAAACTAAATAAAGTTGAGAAATGTCAAATTTGTCATTTTTGTGTAGAAAAAATTCCTTTCATACGAATACCTTAATTACATTTTGAAAATAGTGCAATTTTAAAAACTGAAACTGTCATCCTGCTGTAAGGCTGTCACTGACTGGCTCCTGAGTGGCTCATTTTACGACTTACATTAAGCTTGTGTCTGTGCTTCTAATAGAGCAAATTGAACCCAAATTTCATTCATGTATTTTTGTTCTCTGTCTTACTTTTATTTTTGTTTCCTTTTGTCTTGTAGCAACTGAATCCCAGTAACATTAGTTCATCATCTTCAACCAGAATCACCAAGTTTTCCTCTTATAACTCTTTCACTCCTTCTAAACAGGTACTGTTTCCCTTATCATATCTCAATCCCGTCATCAGCATTTTCAAAACTAAAGATCTCCAGATTTTTCATGGCTCTATATCCGCCTTCTCAACATAGCTCTGATAAATAAGCAACCAATGAGAATGCTTCTCACATGTTTCTACCTGTATCTGTCAAGTGTAGTTTTGAGTTCTGTCAGTCCATTCATGGATCTGTTTGATTTGGTTCTATACGTTGGTACAAAGACAGTATATACCAGTGAAGTTAACATGTTTAAATAAAAAATTGTTAGTCAAAAAATGTTATATAAATGTGCGATTTTTTTTTTTTTTAATTTTGTTGATTTTGACCGAAAAAACAACATTACATTATTTCATCAGCTTCGACTCATATCTATAGTAAAAGAAAAAAATCATGTGTAGATGGATTGTGATGAACAGTAGTTATTTTTATGAAATAATGATTTAACATGTATTCCTAGTATAATATGGCCGACTGATGGCCATTTTCCAATAAAAACACTAGAGGGCATTTCTGAACTCCAGAGAAGGGGGTTGTTGTATTTATCTAAATTTACCTACCTGCAATGATTTAAACCAGTCAGTCTTTTGCGTTGTTCATTTCATCCAACATTAATACAGTTGTATATATTAAAAGCAATATAATACTGAGACCAGCCATATGATATGTTAGCATGCATGCAAATATACACATGCATGTACATCATTGCAGAAGAAGAGTGAATTGTTGCCATGGAGACAGGAATAAAAGTGTATTATTGTAATTTTCATAAAAAAGAAAATCTGCTCATAGGCTATTCAGTAAATGAAATAAACGATACTGAGAGAGCAAGCGAGCGAGAGAGAGAATCGTGCTGGTGTTGTGTCATTTCATGGCTAATCCTTTTAACACATTTTCAGATGCATCATTGGAAATTTGTGCAAATTTTCTCAATTTTGTCAATTTTGTCAAATCTGGTTTAAAAACATGAATTAAACTGATCCCTAAACAGTAAATGTGAAAACACTAACATCTTAATTTTAATGACTAACTTGAATTACAAATAAATAAATAAATAGCAAATGTGATCTGTAATCACATGATTCTTTGGCAAATGTTCACCTCACATTATCGGTGCAGTGGCTAGGAAGTTCAACTCGCATCATGATGGGATTACAGTGGTTAGAGTTTTGACATTGGGTGTGTTCTACATGCATCAGGACATGAGACTGACTAGCATATATACTTTACATTGGGGACATAGTGGTCGTACCCCTAAAGTTGACTGCTCACTTAGCAGTGTAAGTGCATACTATTAGAGATATTAAGATGCGCATACAAGAACGGAACGAGAACGGATACATCACCGCTTTGTGCATGACCTCCGCGCAAACCAATGACGTCATCGGTTGCCTGGTTGTATGGCAGTCATTTTGAACGTGATCAAGGCGACTGACTCGTAGTTGATTTCCGAGAGCTTTTCTCGCTGTCAATTTTAATTAATTTTCACTGACATTGATAAAACGTTTTATATTAGAGTGATTTTGTATATTTATGATAAAATAAGAAATATTGGATGCATTTTAGCTGACATTTATACCCACTGAAAACGCATGACATTGATCTGCTGAAAGAGGATTTTGCAAACAGGCCTGGGACCTCAGCAGAGTGGGTGGAAATAGCGAGAGCTCTGTCAAATGTCTGGGGAGGTATGTAAATGTGTCGAAATAAACATAGTGCGAGTGGTTAGTGCTAGTAGCACTAATCCGAAAAACTACTAAAATAGCACTATCGGTAGATCTAGTGCTACATGTACATAGTGT